TTTACACAAAATTCGTAACAATATTCTTTTCGAATGTAAGAAAAAGGCACCTTGCCATGACTTTTTCATGTTTCTCTGTCAAACAAATAGAGAACTTATATTCGCATTTCCAATATAAAATTCTTTATTACCGATATAAAAGAACGTTTCAAAGTTATTTATGGTAGGAAAATTCTAAAACAATTCAGTATTGATTGCTTGTATTATATTGGTTCATAGGAAGAAAATTCCAATAGAATGGCTTCAAAATATTTTATGTTATGGTAAAATGTTTGTCATAAAGATAGATAACTATCTGAAATGATCTCTCAACAAATGCACTAACGTTAGTGTTGAAAAAAGTTTGAGAGGTACCACCGTTTAGTTTTTAAAATATTTTTTTCATCTTAACCATAGTTTTGTAGTGTTAAAAATAAAACCAAATAACAAGATCATACTGAAATTGACTCTTTCTGTGACACGCCTTCTTGCATATTTAAAACACACACACATAAATGTTCCTTTATTTCATCGAAAAGAAAAAATATCCTTTCATTTTATCGTCATTTTGTCTTACTTTTTTTTCTATTTTACACTCATTTACCAAGGCATTTAACTTTCGGAAATAGAAAAAAAATCATGCTGCGAGTTTAATTAGGCTGGGATAATGGCTGGGACACATTAAGGAGTCTTTATTCTTGCAGAAAAGAATCAAGAGTAATTATTAATCCTGTATTCCACTTCTCCTTTAAACAACTTAATCGCTGATGTTTCTTTTACCCTAATCATCTTCAAATTTGGAAGCCAAGTGGACATTAATTATTTTGTCACAATCTCTGATGAATATTCATGTATACTTTCAAAACTTTTTACGTGGATTATTTTTTTAAAAATATATCAATCTGGTTCTTTAATATTAATACCTAATTTACGTTTTTACAATTAAAAAATTTTGCTTTCTTTGGATGATATCTGTGAGTTATAAATAATTTAATTTTTGAATAACATTAACGGAAAAGTGTTGTTAATTTCTTTCGAAAGCTGTTTGTATTATTTTTATTTTCGTAACCGCATATGTTTAATCAATGTTTATGGTATGTTTAAATTATTTTCTAATAAATCCGAATAAAACTGGGAACAAGCTTAATCAATTTTATTTGTTTCAAAAATAATTCTGTATGTAATATATGTAAAGCTACCAACTTTTTCTGAAGATTATAGTTCGATATTTTGCAAATTTCATTTTATGATTAATTTAAACAGATTCTTGTAGTAGATACATTCCGATCCCTACTTAACGAATTTATCGGGACTGAATGTTTTTACTTTGGGGAAATTCTACAATAAGCAATTACACAAATAATATCAATAGTTAGAAATTTTGCATTTTTTGTTCAACCCGTTGAAAGTACTATTTGGGATTTATTATGGACCAGTTAATTGGAAGTTTGTAAAATGTTGATAGATATTTGAAAAATGTTTTAGTTTCCTGGCTCGAAAGAGTTCTTTTTTCGGCTTTATGCAGGAAAGAAAATACTGTGTCATTCACAACCTGCTGCATAAGGTATGTTTTCATAGATTACAAACAATGCAAAACATTAGAAAATGCAACAATTTTGATAAGAAATTCATTATCAGTTTCTGCATCAGTATTGCTATTCTTTAGCTTCAACCAATCAACAGTTTCCTTTGTGACTGTTGCATAGATCGGCAGTCCATCATCAAATGTAACATTATCGTTAATATTTTAAAATATTCCCCTATGTATTAGAGTGGGATGAGATAAAAACAGAGTTTCCTGTACTACTCACCTGTACTGTGCCAAACTTCATACGATAGGTTACATTCATGAATCATCTGCACCTGTTTCCACAAATTGTCTACTCTTCCCGTTGAAATTTAGTGCTTTCAAGAAAATCATTTTTCTGTTGCGGAAAAAAAATATCATTTGAAAAAAAATCCAATTTTTTTCTAACACAAACTGGTAAACAAAAAAAAAACTGTTGAAATAATTTGCTAATTTTGGGTTTATCATTCGTTAAATAGGGGTTTTACCTTCATTTTAATCGGAGAAAGAGAAAAATTCGTTAAATGCGGGTTCCTTAAATCAGGATCTGACTGTATTTGAATTTTTTCTTCTTATTTTTTTTTAAAGTTTGTTAATTATATCAAAATGCAAAACATTTCTGTTGTCAACCTTACATATTTAAATTCCTTAATATCTCAATAGAAACTTCGCCAATTTTAGAAATAAATGACGACTTGTGTTTGCTGTTTTTTTATTACTGTATGACAATCCCCCATGTCGTGTATTCATTGTGTTGAAATGAAGAAGTTTTTTCATTACTGGAACAAATACTATTTAATGTTCTTACGTTCCACAACACAAGGGGTCACTTAAATAAAACAACAAAACAACACACATCCATTATCGTTACAGAAAATGGCTTAAGGACTAAAAGGAGGGAAACAGGCTTTCCCTGACTCCACGTGTAAACATCTTTACCCGGTAGCGATCAAGGGCCGAAGAACGAGGGGAACGAGTTCCCGCTTCCCTAAAGAACAGGTGGTGCCCCCCTGGCTGCCACTAATCATCAAGGGAAGGCAGAGTTTAAATGTAGTTGTTACAACTGTGATTTTTTTCTGTGTTCATCAATCGATAAGGATGAATTTTACGTTTTGTATACTAGTGCTGATGCGATTCCTGATTTTTAAGCAGTGGTGATATAATATAAAATGTATAATCTATTATAGCATTAATAACTTCTTCTGAAAGTCCATTAAAGTATCCAACTATGTTCAGAAACCATGATTATAAAAAGGTCATAAATGGATAATTTTCACAATATTTAGTGTCACTTAGATTAGAATACATGCATAAAACTGTTTTAAGGACATCTTGACAAAAAAGTATTGAAAATCAATATTTTGGCAAAAAATTAACTTAGAATATGTTTTTTAAAAAAAATCTCCTTTTATAAAAAATGCTTCTAAAATAATAATAATTCGCTTATATAAACTAAAGACTTCTCTCTATAGAGAGTCTTTACTAGAAGTTTTGAAAAATTCACATTACTTTCAAAGTTACCACCAATTGAAATAATTATTGGCGTTTTTTTCTTAAAATTGCTCCCCTCCCTGTTGTCGTAAAATATGGATAAACCCACTTGTAAGTTATATATTTCAAAAATTCTAGTTGGGCCTCTGTATAGAGGTCTAAATCTATATACAGACAAAATATTATTATAATAGAAGCATTTTTCACAAAAGGAGAATATTTTGAAAACTATGTTCATTTTTTGTCAAAATATTGTACTTAAATAATTTTTTTTTGTAATAATATTTTTAAAACAATTTTATATACATTTCCAATTTCTAAGTGATACTAAATATTATAAATATTATCCATTTATACCCTTTTGAAAAATCCCTGTTTCAAACGTAGTCGGATACCTTAAAGTAAAACATTTTAATGACAAAAAAACCAAATGTTTTTAATAAGTATATTTGTCATTAAATTTAATTCAGTAGTGAATTTAGTTTATTAAGAACTTTCAACTTAAACACAATTTTATATAGTCCATTGATTAATTCATTAACCATATTTATATTTTTTGCTTATGAGACAAATGTTCCACAAGGAATTTCAATAAGTCAAAATGATATATAAAATACTATTAAACAAATTTTAATTAAAATAGTTTGTAGTCGTAAAATTAATATCTAGTATTAAAACTTAACTCAAAGATTAAAAAAATACATAACATTTATTTACACTTTGCTTGGTCACACATTTTCCGCAAATCTATGTAACACTTCCCCAGTTTGAAAATTTATTTTATCTGAAGCTAATATGCAGTCCCGATTGAAGTATAAAATATTCTTTTTACTCGGTTACAATTTATGAACACATATTATCGAACTTAACAATTTGCTTCTATTTTTCAATTCCTACTATTAGTTCACTCTCTCTCTCTCTCTGTATATATATATATATTGTTATGAATTTTGTGTAAAATAATGTAAATAATCCGTATTTGAGTGTGTAATGCATTTGTATTTAATTTATGTCACAAGCAGCGCCGTTCCGTACGTTATGAAGGCGATTCAATGAGAACTTGGCGAAATCTTGGTGATAGAGCCAAGTTGGCATCGTTTTGGCAAACAAGTTGGAGACGGCGACTAATTTGGTGACTTGGCGATCATGTTGGCGAGTTCGGGACTCTTTTGAAATTAGTGGATTTATCCACTAATTTCATGATCTATGACGCAAGCGGTTCTTTCTAGAAAGATACGTGAGATATATAAATAGGGATACGTTCACCTAGCTGAGTCAACCTCGTTTTGACCTACGATTACTTAGTATTGCTTTCACTAGCAACTTGTAGTCTTGCCTTGACCTTTGAAGCGATTCATGATTACTTCGGCTTAAGATGAACAATGCTTGTTAATAATCTTTTGCATACTTGTATTTTTGATACTGATAATTGTGTCTGAGTGCTGTAGAAGGTGCAAAGACCTTTATACATTTATTCTTCAATTTTGTTACTCAATCCTGTATTTCAAGGATATATTTTCGACAGTAAATTCTCATCGTTATTAAAGAACTATTTTGTTCTTTGCGACTAATTTGCATAAAATCCTCGAATCCCGATCAATGCAACAATATATATATATATATATATATATATATATATATATATATATATATATATATTTATATATATTTATAAATTTGAAAAAAGATGTATATACATATATATATATATATAAATTTGAAAAAGATGTATATATATATATATATATCTTATTCAAATTTTCAATCGCGTTTATAAATTACTTTCTATTCATTCATTCAAGTTCAAATAATAATAACATCTTTTAAGTTTATTGTGGATGACACTTGATGTTAATGAAGGTTTTTCAAATATTAATTCATTAATTAAATTAAAAATCAATGAATAGTAACAAACAAAAATAATAGTCCAACAGCATATATAGAAAGGAAAATCATCAATGGTGTTCCTGTTGCGCAAAGGATAGTGCGTTCGACTATCCATTGCAAAGATTGTGGGTTCGATCCCACCTGGGATGGCCTAATTTCTAAGCGTTTGATTTTTTTTACTCTACTTTTTTGTTAGAATAAAATTTAATAAATGAATAAATAGTAACAAACAATAAAAAGTGTCCAACACCTTATATAGAAGGAAAAATGGGAAATAACAAGAAAAATAGCTTTCTATATTTTCCCTTAATATTGTGCTTCCGTCAAATGTATATGCATATTTCTATTAATTGTAACTATTTAATAAAAAGTAACTAAAATAAAACTTCGCTTTGTGGACCTCAGTATGAAATTGATTTAATTTTTTTTTATTTTACTTGTTCTTGTTATTAAAATGCCCGTTACTTTACACTGAAGTAATTATTTTTTTTCATTTGGTGAAGAATTTTTTGATGAACAAATTATTAAATGGATTTGCAAATAATTTTTATTTCCTAGATTAAAAAAAATGATTGCGAATTTAGCCAAACATATAGTCTTAAATTTGCCTGTATGATTTTTTTCGCAGTTTTTCGGAAACTTAAAAAATAATTAAAAAAATAAACCAGTGTTTCAAATATTATTATGAAAAAATCAAAAACTTTGTCAAACTTTAAAATTAAAGCAGCTCTCACAAAACTTCGTGATTGATTATTTAACCACATTATTAAAAATCAATTTTTTTAATTAATTTTTATATGGATTTTAAAGTCTTTACATGCATCTTAAAGCTCAAGTTTAAATATCTTTGACAGAAATAGCATTTTATTTTGTTTTATCTAAATTTTAAATTTTAAAAAAAAAGTGAATTACGTTTATAATTAACTAAAAATAACTTAAGAATAGATTTATTGTTTTTTTATGTTAGTGGTTGAAACTGCGAGGCAGATCAATTATTTTTTATTTAATAAAAAACAGTTTTTATTAAAAAAATGCAGTACTACTTGTTTTTAATTATCGGAAGAAAAAGCCATCATCGATAATCAATTCCACAAAAGCGCAAATCTAAATAAAAATATTTGAATAAATATTTGTAGAAAGACATGTTGGTTTTTCCTTTATATGAAAAGAAAACTTTTGTCCAATACCAAATGCATCAAAGAAGTGAATATTTAATGTCATCTTCAAATAACGCACCAAAAGCTGAGGTATTTTCCCGAATTCCCTCAACATATGTAGGAAACCACAGCAATCAGCATATATTGATCTTCTTTTCTTGCCAAGTACAGACCACAACTGATGTACAGGCAATCGATATACTTCGCGTTTTAGCACTCGATTGGTTTTCATCCGAAACTGATGCCACCGATGAATAAAATAAGAAATATACAGAAAAGATTTGAATAAGAAACATCCCGAGTAAAAAAGGTATGCAAAAACCGAACTTTTAACATTTGTGTCTTCCCAACCCAGAGTAAATATCAAATCTTTAAAGAGAAATGATTATTCGAATGTTTTGAAAGCAAGATTTTATTTAGAACCCACATCTGTGAATTTTAAAATAATTCCGAGTATTTCCTGACTTTTTTTTTGTTTTCTCTAAATGAACTTTTGCCCGTTTTATATTATTTTGTTAAAGTTAATAAATTGGAGATGTAAATTAAGTAATGTATCGTTTTTTGCGTAAGACACTTTTTTAGCAAAAAGGTATGTTGAAAAGGAATGTGTGTTTCTTTTGTTTCTATCATTTCCTGTTAAAGATAATTAATTAGTTTTTATACCTGGGCGCTTTATTTTATTGTTTGTTAGTATGAATATTAATTATATTAAGTATAAATATTATTAATCAATTGTATATTCTAGAGAGCTGAAATATTGATATATTTATAAAATTATTTAAAATGTCAAAAGACAAACTTATGATTTTTTTATCTTTATTATAGGCTATATTCAAATCAAGATAGGTATGCTAAAGTTGTTTCTAGAGTTTAGAACAGATATTTGATTTCTGCATTTTTTTTTTGCTACGAACTAAGAAAAATGATTACTGAATACAAATCTTCAAAAGCTTGAATGAAGTTACTTTATTACTTTTTTAAAAAAATTAAGCTACTTTATTTAGTCAAAAGATACAATGGACAGTTTGTTTTTTCTTGAATACTTTCATGAATCAATATAAAAATAAATATAATTTAATTTCTATCAAAATGAATGAAAAAACTATAATATGTAGCAAAAAATTCTAAAATTGCAAAAACCATTCGCATTAATTTTTTATTAAAGCTACTATTATCTTCAATTCACATTAATACATTTTACAAATTTTATTTTATTTTTGTAGGACTGTACAAAAATACATCAAATTGTTATTTTTGTAAATGAAGGGCAATTTACTTTATGTAAATTAAAAGAAGCATTTTTATAATTAATAAGTAATTTTATTTACAAGTTATAAAAGTGCTTTGCTTAGGCCTAAGCCATTCATTTTTATACATACTTTCTAAATACATATTTTATGACAGGCATATGAATATTTATATATTTATATCTGACGTATTTCCCCTCACAGGATTTCTTTATTAAAAAAGAAAACAGGAAATTGTCTTCTGTATTTGATTCTTCATAAGTAAAAAACCACCACATAGATAAGACAGAGATGTCTTTTGTGACGGAACATTTTCAAAAGAAAGATAGTGAAACTTATGATTATCTCTTGGGAGGAATTGACTTTTGCTTTAAGAAAAAAATTGAAATATTTTTGTTTAGATTTGTTGAAAAAGACTTTTTATTCCTGCCATTTTTCTTAACTGTCGACACATTTATGTGTTAGCAGACTTTATCCTATCAATGTGAATAAAAAAATAACCCTATTCCTTAAATAAATGTTATTTTTCTGTGTGGATTCTGAAATTACTTTGAGTACTTTTTGAAGTATTTGAATGTTAACAGAAGTTATTTTTAATTTCTAGCTCTTTATAAATATTTAATTGGTTAGATATACAAATCTGCCAACATTAACATCTTTAAAGCAATTATAAATTAAGTAATCATCATTACAATGGAGCTCACGAATGTCAACCACTGGGATAATAATAATATCAATTGGTAAAATTTTTTAGTTATTAGAATTGAATTTATTAATCTTCTGTATTTACCTTTCTATAATATTTCCAAAACACTTGCAGTGGAAGGGTCCGTGCTTTTTAGAAACCAGGTGAATCAAATATTGAATTATTTTAATACAGTGCTCCACAAACTTTCAATATTTGCGACCTAATATTCAATCATATTTTTCATCGCCCCTCGCCAATACGATAACAATGCATTGAATCCAATAATAATATATTCGGACGTTAAAGTTACGATACTACTTTAATTTATTTGGTACTATTGACGAATATAAACGCCACTCTCAGCCAAAGCGTTAACTGCCCCAGACGTATGTATACGTATTTGCCTAGTACGATCTTTACCATGCACTGTTATGCATAAAATTTTTCCAAACAGTTTGAAATGCAATAAAATGACCTTGAAAGTGTTTGCAAAGGATTTACTAATTTCAGAGAATTTGCTTATGTATTCCTTTTCTCCCAACCCCCTTTCCAATGCATCACATACGCGCACCAATTTGGCAAGCGGTGGCATTAGGAAGCGAATTGCATAACATTTAATCGGCAGTTTTGCGGTTAAATATAAACTGCACAAATTATGAAGATAAGTGTTATTTTTTGCATATAATTTTATATATAGGAAGAGTCCATGGGGTGACTGGTAGTTATTAAATTTGTTCTTAACTTAGTATTGTTAAATTAATTATCAAATACAATGTGCAATATTGTTACATTTATAAGAATATTATAGCAGTGTAAACGTGTAATTTATTTTATACTATGCCAGAATACCTTTTGTTTGTTTACTTTCAATAAATTAGTAATTTCTTTAAAATATTTTTTTTTCGACTTTTCAATATGCTCGTGCTCCCTCGTAGAGTTATCACGCCTCCTTAAAGGGGCCGCACCCCCCACTTAGCAAAACTCTGTTTTAATACAAGTGCACATAGTAAAAAAAGAATAGAAATATATCTCATTGCAAGTGCAACATATAGTGAAGATTAGAAATAAATCTCATTGCAAGTGCAACTCATAGTGAAAAAGAATAGAAATAAATCTCTCATTGCAAGTTCAACACATAGTTAAAAAGAATAGAAATAAATCTCATTGCACTTGCAATGAGATTTTTTTTGAGAACACATGGTGAAAAAGAATAGAAATAAATCTCATTGAAAGTGCAACACATAGTCTTTCAACAATTCATGGCAAAATTCCCATTGCAATTTCTGAAATATAAAAATAATATAAATATTATTATACAATAAAAATATCACATTGATTTCTGTACACTACTTTTGGAACTAAATTTGTTTCAAATAAAAATAAAATTCGTGAGTATTTGTGTTCTGCAACATATCAAACTTGTTTTTTTATTTGAACTTGGCATTTAACATTCAAATTATAACTAAATTATATTCTCAAAAAAAGATGCAAGTTTCTATCCCAAATTATTCATATGATGTACTGTACAATGTCAAAAAAATTCTTATTTTTATATGAAACTCCATTAAAGCACCTGATCTAGCTCTTTTTTCATAATCGAATCACTTACATTCACGCAGCAAGAACATTTTTTTCTAAGAAAAGCAAACTCAAAAGAAAACTGCGTTTTTGTGTGGAGACCAATCCTGAATTTTTATCAGCCGTAAGTACTTTCTCCGTATGCTGAATTGAAACCTCCTATCGCTGTTCACAGAATACTTAAGATGCTCTTGCGGCTTTGGAGACAACTTGGAAGGGGAACTTTATGCGGAATGGGACATGGCTTCATACCCTGTTTCATTTTTATGTATTCTTTAACGCGAACTGCCTGAGATTTAGGTTACCTCTTCATGCATGCGCTTTCTGTTCGTCAGTATTTTTCGGAAACTCGTGAGAGAAATTGTAATTTTATTTACGACTTTTTTTATTGCATTTGAAAGATACGCGCGTGTTTTTATAGGATAAAAATAATAAGTTGCAGTGATGGTTTAAGAGATATATTTCCGTATAGATACTCT